CGATGGAATATTCTTTGGCAATAAAAGGGGATGAAGTACTGATATTTGCCACAACATGGGTGAACCTTGAAAATATTAATGCTCAGTGAAAGAAGCAGATGCAAAAGGCCAATGTCGTATAATCCCATTTATATTTAATGTCCAGAAGGGGCAAACTCATAGAACAGAAGGCAGGTTAGTGACTAGTGGCTGGAGGAGCAGGAAACAAGGAGTGACTGCTAATGGGTTTCTTTTTAGGGTAATGAAAATGTTCTAAAATTAGATAGTGGTGAATAGTCGCGTAATTCTGTGAATATACTAAAAAAAAAAAACCCATCGGATTATGTTCTTTAAATAGACGATGATATAGTATGTGAATTATATCTCAATAAAGCTGTTTTTAAAAATGACCCTAGACCTAAATACAAGAACTAAACTATAAAACCACTAAAAGAATATATAAGAGAAAATATTTATTTGATTCCAACTGGGCAAGGAGTTCTTTGATGAAACACCAAAAGCATAATCCATAAAAGTAAAAACCGATAAATTGGATTTCTTCGACACTGGAAAGGTTTCTGCTTTAAAGACGTTAAGAAATTGAAAAGACAAGCCACCCTCTGAAAGAAAATATTTACAAATCAAATAGATAAAATATTTCTATCCAGAACATCAAGAACCTGTATGACTCAATATTAAGAAGACAAACAACACAGCTTAAAGATGGACAAAAGAGTTGAATGGACATATCACCAAAGAAGATATGAGAATAGCTAATAAACACGTGGCGAGATACTCAACATCAGTAGTTTTTAGGGAAATAACAATGAAAACCACAATGAGGTAGCCCTCCACAACCACTAGAGTAGCTAAAATAAAAAAGGCAGACAATATCAAATATTGGGGAAAATGCAGAGAAATTAGGATCCTTGTGCATTGCCGATGGGAATGTAAAATGGTACAGCCACTTCCAAAAGAGTTTGGCAGTTGATGAAAAAGGTAAACATAAATTTACAATTCAGCAATTCCAGTTTTATGAATCCATCCAAAGGAAATGAAGACAGACATGTCAAAAAAAGACGCATGCAAATGTTCATAGCAGCATCGCTCTTCATAGTCCCCAAACTGGAAATAACCCAAATGTCCATCAACTGATGAGTGGATTAATGAAATAAGGTGTATTTCTACAATGAAATACTCTCCAGTGATTTAAGAGATGAACTACCAACATGTTACACAACATGGATTAACCTCAAAAATAGTATGCTAAGTGAAAGAAGCCGATTTCAAAACTAGAATTGTGTGAGTTCATTTATATGAAATGCCTAGAAAAGGCGAATTTACAGAGAGAGAAAGCAGACAGCATTTGCCTAAGTAGTTTGAAACAGCGCCATAACACTATGTAAATGGCCATGACTTAGAGGCCTAAATAGTTGGGTTTTTTTCTATAGGCAGACATATTTCAGTAATTACATAGATTTGGAAAGAAGAGTTATTTTAAAATTAGAGGTTTTGTTTGTTAACATTTAGGGTACCTATAAATACGAAGTAGAAGAATGAGAAATGGGTTTAATTGTCTTTTATCATGTGCTATTATAGTCCATAGCGGTAATAGTGTAATTTCCTTCACTTATAAGTAATCTGACTTTTTTTTCTCTGAGGCCTGTTTTTAATACTCTCTTAAAATTTATTTTTCAATTACAGTTGATGGACAATATTATATTAGTTGCAGGCGTAGAATAGTAATTAGACGTTTATGTGCCCTACGAAGTGATCACCCCGATAAGTCTAGCACCACCTGACATCGTGCATAGCTGTCACGACATTGTTGACGACCCTCCATCCCTAAGTACTGAACTTACGATAGTGTTGCTCATTCTGGGCCATACCTAATAGGGGTTTTCCTTGCTATTTATTTTTATTGTGGTAAAAAGTACGTAACAGCGAATCTATCATCTTAACCATTTTTAAGTGTACAGTTGAGTAGTGTTAAGATAGCTAGAATTGTTTCTTGCAAAACTGAAAATCCGTACCCATGAAACCCTAATTCCCCCTCCTTTCTCCCACTCATGCTTTATGTTTTAAATGTCATTTTGGAGATCCGCGTATGATGTGTCTTCCCTTTTTTCTCTGCTTTATTGAGATACAGTCGACATATAACATTGTGTAAGTTTAAGGTATACAACGTGGTGACTCAGATATTCGTGTATCTTGCAAAGCGGTTGCCACAGATGTGTCTTCTTAAAGCTTGCAAAGAATTCTGAATAGGAGTTTCGGCTAAGAAATTATAGCTAACTAATAATGGAAAACTTGCACTTTATCTACTGTTCATATATGTTTTTTTCTATTAGCAAATAGGCAAAGAGATATTTTAGGAAAGTACATTTTCCCTACCATTTCCGATTTTAGAGTGCAGTTCATGCTAAGAAGTAAGAATGTACGCGAGTTGTCCAAAAGGCATTTTTTCCAGGGACCGTGACTGTGTTTGGCATTAGTGTCTGCCGATGCGGTAGCTGTGCATTAATCCACCGATTTGTCCCTCTAGATAGCCTGGGCACATCGAAAGCTGTATCCAGGCTGCAAACGGCGATTGGCTCTTTGTCACTAGTCTAATTGGGGCAAGTTATTAGAGGGGTCCATTTCAAAGAAAGGAAAAAGCAAAACTTTGGTGAAGTTTCTTTTGCCTTTTGACTGATGAGGTCTTTGTATCGTAAGTGCCCCAAGGGAGGTTGGTTTTGTAAAGGGACTTTGGACTGAGTTTTCTACCGAACTGAAAAATCCTTTTGTCCTCTGTGAGCATTGAATTTTAGGTCTTTATATATCTGTGCTCTTGATTTTTAAGGCAAGGCAACACTGCAATGAACTTTACACTGCTTTCTTGATAATTTCTTTTCTTTTTGTACTATGGCAGAAAAGGGGGTGCATTTCCAATAGAATCCTGTCACCTTCTTTAGCCTCCCGAAGCCATTAGTGTTCTTCTTCTCTTGCTAGGATCCTGTAAGCTGACTATCCGTGGATGTCATTGTCCCCACATCCCTCGCCTGACTGCACAGGTCCTGGAGACTCAGTGTGTCTGTCCCATGCTGGAATCGGCCCGAACAACTCCACACACCAGACCTGTGTCCCTCATTCTTTATTCATGATCTGGGCGAGCCATCCATCAATGTAAAATCTTTATCTCTTCTAATTTCACCTAACGTATAATAAATCGGTAATTTCTAATATAGAGAAAATATATTTTACCAAGAGTCAACAGTAAATGACTTGAATTATTTGAGATGGCTGTTTCTACTTAAGGCAAATAGGCTCCGCCCTTCTCTATAAATTATGCACTTGGAAAATAGGGCTAGCAAGTGCTGGACATAAATAATTGATAATTAAGCTTTCGTAAATGATGAACTGCAGAATCATATCACTGCAGATGGCTGTTCTTTCTGTTTTTAAGTTTTGGTGGGTAACCGTCGAGAGTTCCTCAGTGATCGCTCTGATTTTGGCTGCAAATAGTCGCAAATAACCTTTTCCCCCGAGTGTTGTTTAATTAAAGAATTGCCCCAATTTGTGGTGAGTGATGTTATTCTCGTCACGTTGTCTAATAGGTGTTTCTAGACTAGAGCTCCACGTGTAGAAAATCCAAAAATGAATATTCGGCTCAGTTTTTCTGTTAGAATTTTCTTCTCTGTCTTCCTTCCTCTGGCTTCTTCACAGGCCAAAGGTGCTGAATCTCAATTTTCAAAAAAAAATTTTTTTTGACTTAAAATTTCTAGTTCGCACTCTTTGGAATTTGCAATCTCACTTTTTATAGTTTCTGGCTTCTCGATGAAATGTTTGGCTCTCATTTTTTTGGAGTTTGCTTATAAACCTTCAACACAAATCGAGACCGATTTAGGGAGGTTGAGCTGTATAACACACCAAGAAGCCTTTTGCTGTTCCCTAAGCCCTTCGTATTAATCCAAGGATTCGGGGTGTGTGAGAGCATCGATAAGGCACGTCACTGTCTGAGCCCTTCGTCTCGGAAGCTCAGCTTCATGGGAGAATGAGATTGTAGCAATGCGGGCTGAGAAGCATTTGTTGGTCAGCGTCGCAGAGTGTTCCCAGCTGGAATCTGCAGTGTTACCCGAGCCCCTTTCGGTGGCTCATCAGCGCCATCGCGCCCTGGCACGGCTCCCGGGTCTGTCCGGAGGAGGATGGTGGGGATTCTGACCCCTGACTGTGGACTGCCTCTCGTTGTCGTGGGGTGGGGCAGAGAGGCCCTGCCGTGACTCCCGTCCCCACAACCTCGGCCATGAGCACTGCTAAAGAATTCGATGCCGAGGGTGTGCGTGTGCGTGTGTGTGTGTGTGTGTGTGCACACGCGTGTGTATCTTTCTTTCATAGCACCAAACTACTGTCCAGTTAAATTCCACAATCCGTGTGGTGATTGGTAGGTAAAGTCAGAGGCAGCCGTATTATTTAAATTTGCATTTTCCTATTAAACCATCATTTAAAAACAAATACGAAAAATGAAGAAAAGCCTTCATCGTAGAGGGTTATAGAGGTACACACGTGCTGTCAGTGGGCACTGAGACCTCTGTGTGCGGGCGTGAACTGGCTTGTGAAAATGGAGGCACAGAAATGTGTGTGTGTGTACACATGCCGACGCCCGTGGTTCTGATTCCTGAGTACACGTCGGATGGGGAATAACCACTTCGAGTTTGAGGGGAAAAAACTAGGGACAAAATATATGTGTTCATTAATGTGCATCGTGGGGCCTTCTGGTGCCTTGGCTGATGGTATTAGTCACAATAGAGATTCGATTAAGAACGTTGAAGACAGCGGTCCGTTTTACATTTGATATCTTGGGTTCTCACTGCTGCGATTCTGCTCATTTTATGCCATTGTCCCAGGTCAGGAGACGAAAGCTCTCCTGGGGTTGGGAATTGCTCTGTTCGTTCCAGGGACTGACATTTCTGAGTCGGACTGACAATTTCACTGGGCTTCGTCTGACTGGTTTCTGTCTGATCTTTCTGTCTCTCCCTCTCTAGGAAGCTATTTTGCCAGCCACTTCATCATGGGAGGAGAGAAGTTTGACTCGACTCACCCCGAAGGCTACCTGTTTGGAGAGAACAGCGATCTGAACTTCCTGGGGAACAGACCAGTGGCGGTACGGGGGTCGTCGGTCTGCTTCCTCGCGGGGCTAAGCAGCCGCTTCGAACAGTGTCATACGCATCAGTCTGTGCTCACTGGTTCAGCGGTGTCTGTAGCTTGGTCTGAGTTGAGGGGGGACCCTGAGAGCCAGGCGGCCGCCTCTCTGGCAGAGCTGGGTCTCCTGGCACTCGAGGCTGAGCCCTGGCAAGGCGACCAGAGTCTGCCCGAGGGCGAGGGCATCTCCCAAAATCCAGGGCCTCTCCCAGCGACTCGGACCCCTGCCCCGGTGCCGGCTCTGCAGACCGCGCTCGTCCAGCCCGCCGGCCTGCCCGCTCCTTGCATTTTATTCTCCTTCATAGCGCCTTATACCACATAAGCCTTTATTGTTCTGTCTCACCCTGTTCATCATCTGCCTTCCCAGGGAGAATGTAAATTTCACAGGGCAAGGACCGTTTTCACGGCCACACCCCGGCAGCCAGGACAAAGCCCGGGACCTCGCGGGAGCTCTTAATAAGGATTTGCTGAATGAATGGCTAAAAACCATCCCCCCCGAAATCCGAGTGGATGTTAAACTATGTCTCTCTCGGTTCATTCAACTCATCCCCTAGACTTTTACGGAGCCTGTTCTCTGCGCCCAGCGCGAGGCTTCGTAATCACAGCTGCCGTGTGGCTATTGAGTGGCTACTGCGTGCTGAGGAAGGTCCGGGATACTGCCAGACATTTTCCTGACCTTTGTGAAGACCCCCTTGTGACAGAGGTTGATCCCATTTCATAAGAGAGAGAACGGAGCATGGTAGTAGCCGGCATTTACGAAGCGCGCACTGCGTGCCAGGCCCCGTCCTAAGTCTGTTACAATATACAGTTTTCCCAAAGTCACATAAGTAGGTCGGCCAGGCCACAGATCAGTAATCTTTCCACTTCCTCTCATTGCTTCAAAATACCCTGCCTTCCTCCAGAGACCCCAGTTTAGTGGGAAAGGCAGAACATACGAACGGGAAATGTTTAAACGGTGATAAAGGTGTGAAGCGATCGGATTCTGTAGAAATTGGGCTGGGGGGAGGGGAATGGTGACGGGGCGGGGAGTGGGGGGTAGAGGAGGTGCCGGGTGGGGAGGAAGGGCTGGAGGAGTTGGGGGAGCGCAGCGAGGCTTTGGAGAACGGCCGGGTGTTCACCAGACCTGTGGGAGAGGGGCTTTCCGGGAGCCAAGGGCAGGCCCGAAAACACTCGCGTTTTCGATGAATCGGTGAACACTTACCGAGCAACTACTGTGTGCCGGGTACTGTGATAGGCGCTGGGGATTCAGAGCTGAAATGAGCTTGGTTTGTTCCTCTCTGGAGCAAAGAAGGAAACAGGTCCCACGGGAGTGGACGTTTCCCGATGGCGAAAGGTGACTGGAGAGGTAGGTGGCAGCTCCGTACCCACCCCACCCCCGCCTGAGAGGTTTTGGGCCGGCTCCTGTAGGCTGTAGGGGGTGTTGAAGCTTTTAGGCAGATGAGTGCCCTGGAGAATTTGATTTTCGTTTGGTTGGTTTTTTTCAGAAAGTTAATCTGGAGATGGTCTTCCATCTTGAGCTTTAATTAAAAAACATGTTCGTCATAGGTTTTATTGGTTTCTTCTTTTCTATCTGGAGTGACCCCTCTTCTAATTCTTTGTGCTGTTGGACTCTTCATAATGCCAGCTTCTGGACATGGTTCCATAGTGTAGCGGTTAGCACGTCTGCTTTACACACAGAAGGTCCTGAGTTCACGCCCCAGTAGAGCCACAGTCCATGGTCTACGGCCATGCCACCCTGAACAAGCACGGTGTCTGATCTCGGAAGTGAAGCAGAGTCGGGCCTGGTTAGTACTTGGATGGGAGACCACCTAGGAAGACTAGGTGCTGTAGGCATAAATAATAATAATAATAATAATAAATGCCAGCTCCTTTCTGCTTCAAACTAAGCTATGCCAGCTAATGCTTATCGAATACCCGCCGTTTGATTTTGCTATGACTGCCTTTGCCATTGGAGTAGAAAGATCTTTTTGTTTCTGATAGAGCCAGGTAAGAGCTTTTTGTCACTCACTGGAGTCCACTCACACTTGGAAATAGCTCATCCTTCTTAGATGGACTTGAGTTTTGAATCTTTCTTCTTTTCTTTTTTCTTTTCTCTGGTATCAGAATAGTTTTTTTGTTTGGTTGGTTGTTTTTTGTTTGTTTGTTTGCTCACACTTGGAAATGGCTCATCCTTCTTAGATGGACTTGAGTTTTGGATCTTTCTTCTTTTCTTTTTTCTTTTCCCTGGTATCAGAATAGTTTTTTGTTTAGTTGGTTGTTTTTTGTTTGTTTGTTTGTTTTTAACATTTTTGGCTATTGTGGGCCATAAAAGTGATTTTAAACCAAGCCAGTGCTTCATTAGGTTCATTTGGACGCTTATGCCGACTGACAGACTTTACTCTTCCAAAGTTTAATCGCCTTGTTCACACCTCTCTGTGAGCCTGTGAGTGGCTGAGCATGTTCTGAAACACTGGAGAGGGGCCTTGACCTTGACTTGGAAGCTTTTTCCCAAAGGAGCATCAACACTGGCCATTTTGTTGTTGTTGTTGTTTTATGTAGTAATCATTAAATATGCTTCATGTCGTACAGAGCAGACGTTTTCTAAAGACATCATAATTTCACATTAAGAAAGCAAATCCGTAACTTCCGATAGGTACGTAGAAATAGAGTCTTCGGGATGAATGCGGTACATTTCCCTTTTCTTTCCCCAAATGTTATTTAATAATAATAACAGCTAACACTTATCGAACAGTTACTGTTTGCCCGTCGTGGGTGTTCTAAGCTCTTCAGATGTGTCATCTCATTTCGTCCTCAGCACCTTAAGGAGAAAGGCTCTCACTTCGCAAATGAGGATCGTGAGGCACAAAGAATTTAAACAAAGCTTGCAAAGCCGGTAAGCGACTGAGTCAGGAACTGACCCCAGGAGTCCAGCTTCAGAGCCACCTCTGCCCTCAGGTCCGGCGGACTTGGGGACCCTGCCCACATCCTGTCTGTGAGTCTGTCTGAGCAGGTCGTCGAGGGCAGTCTGCGAGATGTGCAGTGACATCTAAAAGTAGACTGGGTGGCAACGGTGTGTCCTCTCGCACCGCCTCCTGAGATGGCTCTCGGCGTGTAATTCCACCCGCCCATGTGACCTCTGGGTTTACCGGTGCCGCACGGCAGGCCGGGGGAAGGCCCCGTGATTGAGGAGCGACTCTGGCCTGAGTTCTGAAGAACTGACTTCTACTGTCTAGTAACGCATCTCCGGTGTCAGTGCATGAGCATCAGGTTGCAGAAGGAAGGGAACAGCCTGTTAAAGCCATCCGCTAGCTCTTTTTTTTCCCAGAGAGAACAAAGATAGAGGTGAAAGATGTTGAAATAAATTCTTACATAAAATAGAAATGCCATAGGCTTCTTGGCTTCTGGGATCGTGGTATTTCCTGGCATTTCCGAATGATCAGAATCACTCGATGGAGCTGTCACTCCGCCCATGGTGTCTTCTGGAGCACCACCAAGCCACTGCTTCGGATAAGCCGTGAGAGTCAAATTTGTTATCAAGTCTTAAGGGTCGGATTTGAAATGCTAGAGTAGACGTATGTATAGAAAGATGGTTGAAGAGAGTTGAGTTAAGATTTCAAATTTTTTTTGAAATCTTACCATGTAACACTTCGCAACCTTGGCGAGTCTCCCGCTGAGGCTCTCAGATTACCCAGTGGTGAGGTGGAGGTGGCTCTGACTTTAGAGGAATGTAATGCTTGGAAAATGCTCCGACCCTGCTGGATGGAAAGGAGCCTGGAGCGATGTTGGCTGCACTTGCTAACCTTTCGGGTCAGTTATTTCTGCAGCTGCCGATAGTTCTGGGTGGAGAGACTCGTCACTGGTTTTTAGGTAACTGTTCTAAGTGGTGAGCGGGGCTCCTGCAGGCCTTTCTGCGCTGGTCTCTGTGCGGGAAGCTAAGATCCTCGTGTTTGTACATCACAGTCATTAAATGCTGAATCGAGACCTCCCTCCCCTTCCTGGGTGGTGGAAGGCCGGAGGCCGATCTTTTGCTCCTTTGTGGCCTTAGATTTTGTTTTGTAGGTAAATTAGGGCTAAAACTCTGAGCCAAGTAGAGGCTTAGTGAACCTTAGGACCGTCAGAAAATCAAGTGGTACCTTGACTCCACCCGAGTTCAGATCTCTCCTCTCATCTTAGAGGAAAGCGGTTGACTTTGAGTCGCACTCTACTACTCCACATCACCATGCGTGTCCTGTCACTGGGCCCCGTTGACACATTCGTCCTCCTCGTCCTCCCTGCACAGCTGGCCTCAAGAACTACGCCGCACACCGGCGGGCTGTTCTTCCTCCTCTAAAAAGAAATAGACCCAAAAGTTGTACTTAAATCCGGCTTCCGTAGATCGGACCCTTGTATTCACATGTGTGCAGGGAGAGCGAGTTACTCCAAGGAGCCAGACAGCATATCCATTCGTGAAGCAGGGTTTTGCACGTATGGAGCGGTGTGTCAGTCACGGTGCCATTCATTCATTCATTCATTCATTCTGTGAGTCAGACATTGTACGAGTCCCAGCACGGGCTAGCTACCGGAATGCAGAGATGGAAAAGGCCCGGCCCCTGCCCTGAGGGGCTTGGGTGTCGGGCCGCAGACTGCCCTTGACTGTGACGAGCCGTGGTGAGTTCTGTGAGAGAGACTGGGGGCCAGCCTGGGAGTGGCGTCCTTAAACCTGGAGGGGTGAGCGGGGTTCCCCGGGAGGAGAGCGGGAAGGTCACTGAGGCGGGGTTAGCGGGCAACACGAGGCAGGAGGATGGCACACGAGCCACACGTCTGTCTCCCGACTCTAATGTTCCACGGTGACACTAGCTCCCTTTCGACACCAGCTGTGTGGGTTTCCCACTCATCGGGCAGGACTAAATTGTAGCGAAATAAATTGTAGTGTGTCTGTCCTACGAAGTGGCACTCGGCCAAAAACAAGGCAGAGCTGTATCCACTGAGGTGAAAATACGTTTG